CCCTTTCTCGTCCCCTTTTCATTCCCATTCTTTTTTAGCTACCTAAATGATTTGGACAGAATATCCCAACAGAACTACATTCCAACCCAACAAGATGTGCTACGAACCAGAGTGAAAACTACAGGCATTGTAGAAACACATTTCACCTTCAAGGACTTGTACTTCAAGTAAGTGGCATTAAGAGTTGCAGGCTGCCGTTTATGTATACTGTTAAACCACAATTTCTTGGTGTAAAATGTATTGCTCTTCTGCACTTGTGGTACAGTCTTTGACTTTGGCTCACATAATGTAGTATCTTTCCGATTCTGTTGCTAGTGATTCTTGATAAATCCACGTTTTTATTTTCATTGTTTCATTCTTTTCAGCTGCTTTTATGTTGGGATCACAAACACAGGTACAGAATCCTTGCTTTACAGGAGCATGTATACTAATGGTATACTGGCTTCTGTTTTATATTGTTGATTGGAAGTGTAAAATATAAAAGCCCCACCTAGAGACTTTATCATTTGCCATGCATTTATTTTCTGGTGTTGCAGTGGGAGTTGAAATTAACATGGCTCTCTGAACAATGCATGGCTTTCTCAGCAAAACAATAGACATAGCATTAACCAGTCAATAGTACAGAACATTGGCAAGGAGCATGCATAATTATTTAATTGCTTAAAAGTGCTTGATGTAGAATGGGGCTGTGTTATTTTCCACTGTGATACACCTAATTAGTTACGTCATGACTGAATGACATATTAATCATGTACCTCCATGTAGTTTGCCACCTCGTCTCCTGATTGATCCTTGTAGGACTTGTGATGTGTTCTTTTTGTATACTTTCAAACATCTTGGCTCTGCTACTACTGCCTCTGATTTGTAAAATACAACAAAATGCAGAATGAATGCGAACAATAAGAAATTCATATTATTCCTGGTGCACAACACCATCATGCTTCATGGTGGGATAAGAAACCTTTGCTTTCACAGTTCCTGGAGCTCCAAAGTGTTAAGCTAGTCTAAGAATCAAATAGTGAAACTGTAAGGGCATACTCTCTTGTGCCAGGTGCCACTTTTCCCAGTGTTACTTAATTAGACTTAGGTAGTAGTCCCTTTGACTAAATTTCTCACAGTCATCTTTTCATGCCAGCTGAAGGTTCTGTTAAAGCCACATAGTTCCCCCTCATTCACTATTCACCTTACCTTGCCGATTATAATTTTAAAGCCGTAATAAAGTCTAAAAGTAAAGCTAAAGAAATTGGGATTGGGTAAAATAGATTTGGGGCTTGAAATTGTATAGGGCAGGGGTAGGCAACCTTGGCTCTTTTATGACTCGTGGACTTCAACTCCCAGAATGCTGGCTCAGGAATTCTGCAAGTTGAAGTCCACGAGTCACAAAAAAGCCAAGGTTGCCTACCCCTGGTATAGGGAGTCCTCGACTTATAACCATTCGTTTAATGACTGTTTGATTTATGGCAGCACTGAAAAAAGTGACTTATCACCACATGACCATTGTAACATCCCCACAGCTATGTGATCCAAATGTTGATGCTTGGCAACTGGCAGTGTTTACAATGGTCCCAGTGGTCTCAGGCCATGTGATTTCTATTTACAACCTTCCCAGAAGGCTTCGGACAAGCAATGTCAGTGGGAGAAGCCAGACTCGCTTAATCACTGCATGATTCACTCAGCTGTGGTGATTCACTTAACAACGGTGGCAAAAAAAGGTTGTAAAATGGACTTGACTCTGTTAACCACTGCGTCACTTAGCAATGGAGGTTCTGGTGCCAGTTGTGATCATAAGTCAAGGACTCTCTGTATATAATAATCACTTGTAAAAAAATCACTGTGGCTGAGCCTCTGCTATCCTTGTGTATAATAATCTTGCATCAAAGATGAACAAGACAGAGTTTATGAATTATATGTATTGAAAACAACATAAATGCAGCATAATTTATGTACTGCACAATCTTTTCAGTCTGCTCCACTGGAAAAGCACTGAAGCTCTTCTTCTATTCTCCTTGTTTTGTTTTGTTTTTTCTTTGTCTCTTTTTAATGAGGGGAAAGTATTTTTTGGCATAACCTATCTTAGGTGTGACTTTTTTGCAGGAGGCCTAGATATTTCAGTGTCCAGCTCCACAGTGTCAAGTAGTAAAGAAATGCCAGTCAGTATTCTTTCTTCACTACCAGCTTTTGCTGGTTCTGCCCTGAGCACCTGGAACAAAATATTTTATTTGCGTAGTACATTACTGTGTTTATGATAAGGCCTCAAAAGGTTACAAAAGCTTGAGCCTAGAGCAGGGGTAGGCAACCTTGGCTCTTTTATGACTCGTGGACTTCAACTCCCAGAATTCCTGAGCCAGCATGGCTCAGCTTGGAAACCTCCCTTCCCCTCAGCATGGCTGGCTCAGGAATTCTTGGAGTTGAAGTCCACGAGTCATAAAAGAGCCAAAGTTGCCTACCCCTGGCCTAGAGGAAAGAGGGCTTAAAGGGATATGGTTTGTATCAGAGCTTTTTAGAATGATGTAATTATGTTATTTCCCTCATCCTATTTTCATATCATAGTCCCCCCCTTTATAGCACTAAATGAAAAATAATGATTTAGCATTTGATGATTAATCCCAGCCTTGGGTTTTTTTGTGTTGTTGTTTTTTTGCTAGCTGCCCCAAGCATATAACTCTGACTAGTATACTGCAAAGTATAAATAAAGCAAAAATAGCATCAAAATAGCCAATGTTACATAAAGTAATGTGTTCAAACAGATTCAGACAGAAGTTATTAAAGCCTTTTATAATTTTTGTGGTAAAATAATATACCAGTGGATATTTTAATGAACTTTAGCCTTTCGATCTCAGGGCTGGCAAAGTCATTTACAAGCTTATTAAAGAACCCCTATTGTGCATGTGTATTTGTGTAATAACTAAACAGATGGATTTAGGGTTTGTTTTTTTTTTTTTTTTTTGCTAAATGAATCTTCAAGTCCTTATTTTTCTGCCAGGATGTTTGATGTTGGTGGTCAGCGTTCAGAACGTAAGAAATGGATCCATTGCTTTGAAGGCGTAACAGCAATTATATTCTGTGTAGCTCTCAGTGATTATGACCTTGTCCTTGCTGAGGATGAAGAAATGGTATGTTGCTGTAGAATTATACTCTAAATAATGTGGAATGCAACAGAAATTCATCTTAAACTTTGCATACTATAATTTAATCAAATGGCCCATGTTTTGCTATTTTTATTCCTTGAACATTATAAATGGTATTATTTCAGTAGAGCATAGGGGCAAGCTTTTCTTGTCTGCATTCTCATAATTTGTGCAGTGAATGTATTTGAAGTTGGGAGGTTATGGAAAATAAAATTGCCTCTTCATAATTGAGTGTGAACATTTAAATCTACATACATGATTTGAGATGGGAAAAAATGGTTCCCGACAGAAAAAAAAGTGATATTTCAGAGGCTTTTTGTAACATTTGAAAAAATGTAGACATTATTTAGCAGGTTTGAAGGGATGGTTCTACTTTTAATGTTGGGGTTATTTTTGACAAAATTTGCACTAGTAATTATATGCTAATTATATGACGTATCGATGCTGACTTTCATTGGTGTTTTTTCTGTTCAGAATCGAATGCATGAGAGTATGAAACTCTTTGACAGCATTTGTAACAACAAGTGGTTCACTGATACATCAATCATTCTTTTCCTGAACAAGAAGGATTTGTTTGAGGAAAAGATACGGAGGAGTACACTAACAATTTGCTATCCAGAGTATCCAGGTAAGATTTGTCTTTAGGCAAAACAGAAAGTCAGCAGATATGTGTTTGTGTGCGTGTGTATGTGTGTGTTATAGTAATTTCATTAAAGATGATAATTATAAAAATAAAAATTAATATAAATTAAAAGATGAAAGAATAGAAAAAGAGTAAAAGATGTGGAAAATAAAAAAGAAAGAAAAGTAAGAATACAGTAGTTCTCGACTTACAACCATTCATTTAACAATGGTTCAAGGTTGCAACAGCATTGAAAAAAGAAGTTATTGTGGGGGAGGGGAGTTTTGGAAAGTCATTAAAAGTGGTGATTGTGATGGTGCATTCCTCTGAATATCAGATTTGGAAAACAGCAGCAGCAGAGTTAGTCCTTGTGTGTCTTACTTTCCAGAGTAAAGTAGTTGGGCACTGTGGGAAGTAAGATGATGGACTAGATAAGATTTTGATGTAATTCGTTAGAGCTGCTCTTATGTTCAGTGTCATTTTTCTAGGTTCTAATACGTATGAAGAGGCTGCTGCATACATCCAGTGCCAGTTTGAAGATCTGAATCGAAGAAAAGACACCAAGGAAATTTATACTCATTTCACCTGTGCCACTGACACCAAGAACGTGCAGTTTGTGTTTGATGCTGTTACAGATGTTATAATTAAAAACAATCTGAAGGAATGTGGACTGTACTAAAAGGAAAGAAAGAGAGAAAGGTAAATTATGAACATGAACTTTAGCATTGCACAAAGAGATACCATTTGAACTTGTGCTAATTTTTGAATTTTCTTCTTTAGATTTCAGGATGTGGACTGTTTCTTTGCTGCCTTGTGAGACAGCTGCAAGCATGAACAGGACTGGAGAATGAAAACAGCATGCAAAACTTTGCATTCTTTAGCACAATCTTCTATATTAGGGATATTTTACTGGTATGGATGGTGAAGTTAGATTCCAAAAATGGAACTATTGTTAAGTGTGATTTTTTTATCATCCAGGCATCACTTGGATTGCATAATTTGAAATATGTACAGCTGTTACAAAGTTTTCATCCCAGAACTTCAATATGTAGCTTTCTTTAATAAGTCATCATTGCTCTATTTTTAAAGTTTTTCCATCAAACTATATATTGATTAAATTTTATTTTCTTTGCAATGAATCTTACATTTTAAAAGCAAACAAAAAACACTTAACTATGCACATGATGTGACCAGATCATGCAGAAAGTATTCCTCTTAGCAGGAACCTTTTATTTTTAAAACTTGGTATGGTCAGAACTTGCTAGTATTGCAACTACTTTAAAAGGGCCTTAGAATTCTTATGGCTAAAGCTGTGGCTTACTTCTAATATATACTATGTCAACATTCTGCTACATATACTGTAAGGCTTTCCCCTTCCTTAAAACGTAGATTTCCTGTAGCAGGTTTAACAAATTATGTGTGGCTTATGGGTTGGGAGGATTTAGCCTGGTTTATGCCGAGTATCAATTTGCTGAGTATGCATCTGGTGTAGCAAGTAAAATCTGATTCTTATATGAAATTTCTGAAGTGAGTACCAGTTAGCAAAGTGATTTGTAAAATTCCGAGCTGGAGGGAGAGAATATATGCTGCTACAGGGCTACTGTATCAACCACTTAATTGTTGTGTATGTGTTTGGTCTTAAAGCAGTGGGGAGTTTTGTAGACAGTGGAATTTGTTCTGCATTTACCAGGGCCTTTTATCCTTAAGAGATTTTGGAAATGTACCAACAGCATGTAAATGTGGTGCCAAGTTCCTGTTTGCCATTGTTTTCCTTGTAATGAAAATTAAGCAGAGTAAGGGTAATTCTTTGCTTAACCATTACACTGAAACTCTTTCCCAATTTTCATGTACAGTTTCAACCTGATGATGTAGTTATTGGCAATATTAAAATAGTGAGTTAAAAAAACTTAAAAGTTCCTAACTTTATTGGTGCCATTTCTGCAAATCCTTGTTAGTTTCTTCCTTGCATTTCTGACTTTTGCAAATTAAAATGTTAGTCTGATTAATTATTTGCTATTGCTAAACTGTTATATAAATAGTTGCAGGGTTATATCTTGCTTTGACAAAAATTCATTAGTCTGCACCAAATATTGAGGTAGACTTTCATTAATCGAACAGACTTCTTCCTTTCCTTTCCTTTCCTTTCCTTTCTTTCTCTTTTGACTGTGCAGTCTGTGTGTTGTCTAAGAATGGAGTTAAGGTATTGCAAAACAGTGGGCAAATCCAGCTACTAGTGAAATTGATGTTGCTGACAGAACAGAACCAATTTAATACCATTTTATTGGTACTAGTAACTTTACAAAGAGTAATAATAACATCTGAGAATAGTGGCAAGTCAATTGTCAGTTTTTATCATTTGTCACATCAACAAAGTATTACAATGGCTATTTTAAAATGATACATTGTAATGGTTTATTTATATCTTGCTTTATTATTTTTGTAAATAACTCAAGGGAACAAATATATCCTCCTATTTTTCCCCACAAAAACAACCCTATGAGGTGAGTTGGGCTGAGAGAGAGTGACTGGCCCAAAGTCACCCTGCTGGCTTTCATGCCTAAAGCAGGATTAGAACTCACAGTCTCTCAGTTTCTAGCTTGGTGCCTTAACCCCCTACCTACACTAAATCTGAATCTCTTGCTACTGTTATAAATACTTTAGCAAAAGAAGTGATGATGTTCTACTCATATATATAAGATGCTAAAAATAAATATCTTACTAGGTTTCTGAGTGTACAGTGGGAGAACACTCTTCATACAGTAAATGCATGAATCTATTAACTCAACCATCTATGGTGACATGTACATTTTTTAAAAATGGGAACATATTACAGGTTACTTAATCGGTTTAAGACCAATTTCATATAAGCATGAATATGTATTCAAATCAGGGAAAGATACTGTATAAATTAACAATGCATTGAGCCACCACTTCAGTTTCTGTAAACAGCATATGAATCACAGCAGATATTTTTGAAAAGAAAATGTGAAGAGGAATGTCTGGAGAAAAGGAATATGAAGAGGAATGGAAGAAATTACTTTTCAATCATGCACCCATACTTTTTAATACAAATTTATTTTTATCTCTTCACGTTTATTTGAAGCTGCACGAGGAATTACTTGCAGTGCATCTTAATGCAAGTGGTATCTTGTCTAACAATACAACTGTTTCGTTTTTGTATCCCTCTGTTCCCTATATGGGTGTGGAGAAATTCTCTGCCCCTGTGATGTCAATGGCTCAAAGCTGTATATATGTATGTTCATTATCACAGGATTAATAGCACAAGTAGACAAGTTGTCTCCACAGCAGGTATTGAAGCACTGCTGTATTCTGTGAGTTTAATTGGTATGGGGGAACAGACCCATTCTAGATCACTGAATTAGATACTATAAAACTTTTTTTTAAAGACACTGGGTTCTAATTGCACCAGTTTCAGACAACTACAAATAAATAGTGTGTTTGATCTATTTTAATAGATGTAAATTTGGAAAATACCTCATTTCTATATACAATATACAGTTTTTGGACTTGGGACATTCAGACCATTGGTTTTACAATGAACAGTTCTGTTAAATAAGACCCCAAAGCACTGCTTGTATTTTTCCTGTGAACGGATTATGGCTTATTTATAAATAGTTAAATGCGGAGGTTCAGTGTTTGACATAAATTCATTGTAAACAAGTTTGTCTTCACTGTTGCCCATGTTACAATTTCCACTTTCACAGATTGTAGAGTACTTCAGAAAGGAAACTTGTCAAAGAAAATTATTCAGAAATTGGAGACTCTTAACTTTTTGTTCCATTAGCTTTTTTGATGGCATGTTCTTGGTAGAATTGTTTATCTTGGGTAAGAACTGTTATCTTGTTAGAATTCTTTATCTTCTATGGAGAAGTGTAGATTCCTGAATGATGGGTTGCTCTTTGGCTCTGCTCAGCAGAATGGTGAAGCTCACTGGAAGCTCTCGTTCCTGATAGATGAAGATGAGATGATATTTTGACTAATGAAATCAAATTACATTTGAAATTGAAGTTGTCAAGAGCATGTCAAAGATGTAAAGATAGACTTTATGTATATACATACATGCATGCATGCATACCTTCAGATATTTTTCAGCTTCAACCCTAACTTCCTACTAATCATGTTCAGTGATCATGGCGTGTGAAGTCTCGCAATATCTACAGATTCTGCAGGTTTTTTGGAAACAGTTGCATCCTTACACATCTAGTACCATGTAAGCACTGTGGATGACCTTGAAATAGCTAAATAGAATTGTACATGGCTAGTTCTTGGCTGGGGTGGCCACTAGGAAATCTCAGGTATATTGAAAAGCTGAAAAAACATCCTGAAAGAAGACAAGGGCTGACCACTTCCATGTCATTTTCAATCCTGCTTCCTCCCCTCACCCCATGAATGTGACTAGTCACTAGGAGTTGATTTAAGAGAGACTATTTATCTAGTCACCTGGGAAAGCCAAGGGAAATCATCAAAACAATTAAAAAATGAAAATTAGAGTATTTCGGACATGTGATGTGACACCCAGAAAAATACAACATACTCCATTTAACCCTCCAGGGAAAGATTGAAGGCAAACGAGGTCCAGGCAGAAGAAGAACATGGCTTCAAAATCTAAGGGATTGGTTTGGACAAAACTCAGCAGCACTTCTTCGTGCGGCTGCTGATAAAAACAGGATCGCCAACATGATCGCCAACGTCTGATAACGGATATGGCACAAGAAGAAGAGATTTATCTTTAAACACTCCTGAGCCCTTTACTGAGCACCAACTTTGATTCTCCAGTACAGGAGATGGAGAATCCACCAATGGGTTTTCTCTCTCTGCCTGCTCTTGAGACCAAGTAACCAAATGTGACACACCCCCTCTTGCTAGGAGATCCAGTCTTGACTTGGTCTCAAGCTCTTGAAGACGTGTCAGGTTTGGCTCTCAGAGATATTAGCAGGTCAGAGACCCATTTGTGAATTCTCCCCTCTTAATAATTTCCCCAGTACTCTGACTAATAATCTCAGCCTGGGAATTTCTCCCTGCTGTTCCCCTACAGTGTTGGGCTCAGCGCTGCCTCAAATCGGCTGATTTGATGTTTCAGAGGTGGGGGGGGAGGCACTACAGCCTTCCTGTTTTTTCTTCCTTCCCCAGAGCCCTCGGGGGGGGGGAATTTTCCAAGATTGTTAATCCTCCTGAACAGAGGACACATCGAGCCCTCAAACTAATTCCCCAGTCCTTCGGAATTTCTTCGGCAGCCCTATACAGCCGTGGGCACCATTTTGGTTGCCGCCGAAGGCAGCAAATTTTAATAAATCAGATCTGAAGGCCTTCTCCCTTCACTCATTTGAATCTCATTAGCTGGGGAATCTTGCACAGCGCATAGTGTCACTGTGGGCTTCCCCCTTGTCCTCGTGTAGCTTGTCTTTTGAAATTTTTTTTCCGGAGGCCATCCTCAACGGTCGGGAAACAGCGGCCGCCATTTTGGTTGCCGCCGAAGACAACGAAGAGACACTCCTGGTTCCTCCAAGTAAGTCTCTTGTGGTTTGGGGGATAGGGTCCTTCGGCCCTACCACAACTCGGTCTAATTTGATTGCAATTTCACAGGCCTACTGCAGCTGCCATTTTGGGACACATACAAGCCCTGCCCCAGGGACTGTCTGTAGGCCTCATAAGCCCACGCCCATTAACTACACTGGTATTTTGCAGACTGGGCCAAGTTCTCAGGCCACCAACAGAAATTCACAGGCTAGGCCAGATTCTCAGGCCACCATCTTGATCGGAGCAGCCATTAAAATTCACATTGCCTCTGCCAGGCCTCCTTTCAGGCCCTCTGCGCCCTTCATTGGGCTATCTGGTGCACCTTGACTAGTCACCTAAGGCCTCCAGGCGGAGCCCATAGCGGGTCCCAACTGTGCCTTCGGTCTTATACAATGACCGTGACCTGAGTCAGAAATATTAATGGTCAGGTGGTCAGGGGAGCAGTCTTCGTTACTTGCTCCAATTTCTCTTCCAGCCAACCGCTTGCCTGCCAGAGCTACACCTCAGTTTTCCTGAGATAGCTCGAACCAAGATGGAGGACTCAACGATGTCTCAACCCATGAGCACTGACTCTCCATCCTCCAGTTACGGCTGGCACAAAACCTCCAAGCAGGAGGCAGCAGGCAAGCTCAAGAACAAAACTAAGGCCACTCTCAAGAAGTCTTCCAAGTTGGTGGAGAAGCAAGCCAGCTGTAGGCACCAGGCTCTGGAGAAGGAGTTCTCCAGAACGCAGAGACTGGCAGGATCAGAGACAGATCAATTGGTGGCCCCTGAATTTGACCTTCCTTTAGGCCCTTCATCCTCTGCTCGGGGCATGTGGTCATTGGCAAAAACCTCCGCCACACATTGCCCCCCTTCAATGCCAATTCAGCACATGGCAACTAATCTCCCAACCCTACCCTCAGCCTCGGTGCCTGAGGCCACATTCACCCTGACAGCTGCTGGGCTCAGGGGACCAGACCTCGGAGACATTTTCTCCGATGGTTGCCTGGGGGCCCTGTTGTCCAAGGTGGTGGACCATGCACTGGCAGAAAGGTCCTACCAACCGCCTGGTCAGGGGATTCCCACATCAGCTATTCCACCTTACATTCCTCCAGCGGAGATGTCTAAGTATCAGGAGCCCACATCTCCTGCACATTCATCAGTTAGCGGATACTCATCTCCGCAGGGTGGTGACCAGCCGGATTTCAACCTGTCTGAGGAGGAGGAACCTCCCCCAGAACCATCTCCATCAGGAGGCCTATTTAATCTGGCTCTGTTTCTCCCGTTGCTCTGCAAGGCTACCACAATGGCAAACATAGGGTCCGATCAGTTCCCTCAGCCACAGGCCTCATCGGATTCCAGTCCTAATCCAATATTTTTTGAAACAGTGGCAGCCCAGCACCATGTTCCTTGCCCTTCTATTTTTCTTAAAGGGATCAAGAAGCAATGGGTCTCTCCTTCTTCCTTTCCCTTGGTAGGCGGGACAGACAAGAAGATGTTTAACACTTCCACGGATCTAACTGAGACCCTGGAGGTTCCCAAGGTAGACAAAGCCTGAACCCCTCTGGTGTCCCAAACCGCAGTCTCTGGGGACATGGTGGAGGCTCTTAAGGTGGAGGAATGGAAATGGGATTTAGCGTTTCGAAAGACCCATCAATCAGCTGCATGGGCAATTAAAATGGCCACTTGTGCGTCTTTTTTTGTCTGGACCACCCTTTTATGGCTTCGCCAACTCCAGGCCAGAATCCCTTCCGAGGACATTCGGACCCATCAGGACCTAAGCAAAATGGTTGCGGCAACGGAGTACGCTGCAGATGCGACTCTGCAGTCAGCAAACTTTGCTTCTAGGTCTCTAGCCTCCAACATCACAGCCAGAAGGATGCTTTGGCTAAAGCACTGGCAGGCTGATGCCAAGGCTAAATAGCTCCTTGCAACTGCCCCTTACCTGGGCAACAATCTCTTTGGGGAAGCCCTGGCTCTGTACCTTGTGGAAAACAAGGACAAACGGAAGGTCATGGCTCATCTTACCAAACGGCCTAACAAGCGTGCCATTCCCTATTTCCGCAGGCAGTCCTTTCGGCCGGTAGCAGGCTCAGCAGCCACCCAGGCCTCCTGCTCATACACGCCCAGGCAGTACAGGCCATATGACCATCCGTATGACAGATTGGGATTTTGAGCCAGGCAGCAGAACCAGAGCAAGCGGCCATTTCGAGGGGCAGGGCGCCCCTACAGGAGGTCCAAGTGACTTTCATTCAACACTCCCCATAGGGGGAAGCCCACTTTTTCCACCAGTGGGAACTCACAACCACGGATGCCTGGGTCCTGCAGACAATTCAGTTTGGCCTGTCCCTAGAATTTCTGACCAGTCCCCCGGGTTGCTTCATCACCTGTTCCACTTCACGGGATCCAATAAAAAGGGGGTTTATGCAGGAGGCCATTCACCATCTATTAGATATTCAGGCCATAGATACCGCCTGATCAGAAGGGGAAGGGATTCTACTCCATCCTCTTCGTCGTTCCTAAGACCTCAGGAGGATGGAGAGCAATTCTGCACCTCAAAGATCTGAATCATTACATCACATACAAAAAATTCAAAATGCAATCACTCCAGTCCATCCTGGGAGGCATCAGACAGGGAGACTTCCTGGTGTCAGTAGACCTCACGGAAGCGTATCTCCACATCCCCATCCTTCCAGATCACCGGCGGTTCCTCAGGTTCTATTACAGGGGTCACCATTTTCAATACAAGGCCCTCCCGTTTGGCCTTTCCTTGGCGCCCAGGGTGTTCACCAAGATCCTGGCTGTGCTAGCCACCCATCTATGGAAGGTACTGGTACGTGTCCAGTGTTACCTGGATGACATCTTGATCCAAGTGTCCTCCTTCCGGGCAGCCCAGTCGGACCTGGAACTAACTATTCAGGTCCTCCAACAGCACGGGTTCTCGGTAAACTTCCAAAAAAAGAAAAAAGCCAGATGGTTCCCTCAACCAGGCTTCTGCACCTGGGAGCCATTATAGACACCACAAACTGCATGGTCTATTTCTCCCAGGAGCAGTTGGTCAGCATCAGGGATCTGGCTCACCGGGTGTACAAGGACTGCACCGTTCCACTGGTCTTATTCTCCCAACTTCTGGGAAAGATGGTCTCCTGCACAGCCATAGTTCCCTGGGCCAGACTCCACTTGTGGGATCTCCAATGGTTCCTCCTACCATTCCAGCGGTTGAATGCCAGCTCATCCAACCGGCAAGTGAGGCTCCTGGTCCACACCCTCAGGTCTCTTCGATGGTGGTTCTCACAAGTGGTAACCAAAGGGTCATCTTTCAAAGAGCCGGACTGCCTCACCATCACGACAGACGCCAGCCTATTTGGCTGGGGAGCCCATCTACAGTCTCAGTTTGCGCAGGGCTGTTGGTCCTGCACAGACTTGAGACACAACATCAATTGGCTGGAACTCAGGGTCATTCACTTAGCTCTTCGTCAATTCCGCCACCAGGTCAGGGGCCGTCACATACTGATCCTCATGGACAATGTTGTATCCAAGGCCCACGTGAACACTTATGTCCGAGGCCCAGTTGCTGGGATCCTGGGCAGAGTCCAACCTGGCCTCCCTCAGGACCGAACACATCTCGGGGGTCAAGAACCAGTCACTCTACGATAGACCCCTAGGAATGGGGACTACATCCAGATCTTTTTTCTGAGATATCCTGAAGGTTCGGCCATCCAGTCCTCGACCTGTTTGCATCATCGAGCAATGCCCAACTCCCCAGCTATTTTTCCCATTATTACTTCCCAAGGGCGGAGGGGACGGATGCCCTGCGGTCTCCGTGACCGAGAGGTCTACTTTATGCCTTCCCTCCCCTTCCGCTCATTCCGGCGACCATCTGCAAACTGTTCCAGGAGCAGGCGGAAGTGATCCTTGTGGCCCATACTGGCCATAGAGACCCTGGTTTGCTGACCTAATGAATATGTCCCGGTCTCCCCCATGGAAGATTCCCCCGCATCGTGTATCCTTACACCAGGGGGTCCTCCAACATCTGGACCCTCAGTGGTTACAGTTAGCTGCCTGGTGCTTGAACACACCATCATGACACAAGAGTTGTTCTCACCACGGGCAATCACCATGATCCAGGTCTCTTGTGGGCCGGCAACCAATCACATCTATGATTCCACCTGGAAGAATTTTTGCCATTGATGCAGAAAGCGGAAACTGGATATTTACAAACTAACTGTTCCTCAGATTATAGATTACCTTCTCGACGGTCTGGACAGAGGCCTGGCCCCTGCGACCATTCGTAGGCAGGTGGCGGCCTTATCGACGTTGCTCACTTGCATAGATTCGGTTCCCCTGGCTCACCATCCTAGGATACGCGCATTCATCAACGGCGCATGTAACACTAGGCCTCCAGTGGTACACAGGTGTCCCTCTTGGGAGCTGCCTTGGGGGCTTCGCGCACTCACTAAACTGCCCTTTGAACCCATTGCTGATATACCATTGCGGGCCTTGTCTCATAAGGTTGCATTCTTAATCGCCATCATGTCAGCCAGGTGTATCTCTGAGATGGCTGCTCTCTCGGTCAGGAACGATCTTTGCATCTTCCACCGAGACCGAGTAGTACTTCAGTTGGATCCCACCTTCATGCCCAAGGTCAACTCACTCTTCCATCGGGCACAGGAAGTAATTTTGCCTAATTTTTGTCTCAATCCTTCCCATGACTTGGAGCGGCAGTGGCACACACTGGATGTCCGCAGGGCCCTGCGGTGTTACATTAAACGCACGGAAGCCTTTCGCAGATCTGAGGCCCTCTTTATTTCCTTCCACCCTGCTTCCCTGGGACAGAAGGTGTTTGCTGCCACTATAGACAGGTGGATCAGTGCTTGTATCGCGGAGGCGTACCTGTCTTCGTCTTTGCCGGCTCCAAGTCATATCACAACCCATTCCACTCGCAGCGCTGCAACATCTGCGGCATGGGCTACTCAGGCATCCATCAAGGAGATTTGCAGGGCTGCAACATGGTCTTCGCCCTCCCCTTTTGTATGCCATTATAGGATTGACCGCTTCACTTCCGCGGACGCCTCCTTTGGTAGGAGGGTGCTACAACAGGTGGTTTCCAGGGACGTAGATCCAGCCTTATCTGTTTCCCACCCATTGGGACAGTGAGGCTTTGGTATGTTCCATTGGTGGATTCTCCATCTCCTGTACTGGAGAAGGGGCGTTGTCTTACCTGAACGCCTTTTCTCAGTACAGAGATGGAGAATCCACACTCACCCTAAGGTCAGTTAGGCTGTTATTAGGGATTAGAGAGCCAATACCTTGTCCTTGCATCAGCCACTTTCGCCCTTGTCAAGACTGGATCTCCTACCAAGAGAGGGCATGTCAAGTTTGGCTCCTTGGTCTCAAGAACAGACAGACAGAGAAAACCCATTGGTGGATTCTCCATCTCCGTACTGAGAAAAGGCGTTCAGGTAAGACAGCGCCCCTTTTGCTTACATGAGCTTGTTTTGTAATCACATGGGACCTTATTACCTGTGATTTCCTTAAAATTTCTCTTTGTTGCATTAGTATCTTCAAACCCGTTTTGGAAATAATTGCTAAGCGAAGAATTTGGCAATGGTGCTAACTCTTCTGATGTAATAATTATTATAAATTATTATGGCAAAGGAACTGAAATAGCAGAGTACTTGCATAGTTTTAATGCAAGCATCCTGTTGCAGTTTAACTGCTGCTTCCTATTATATATGTAGCCTAGCTGACTTGGTTACTGTTTTCATTTAGTTATTATGCACATTCAACTTTAAGCACTACTGTTCAGAAGTATAGTTACAAGCATAAGTAAGGAAATGCTAAAGTATACTTACTGCCTAATTCCTACTTTAGGAACTGATAATTGAATGTAGTTACCTTTTCTTTTAAAAAGCTTAGAAGAGACCACAGTCCTTTAGGTTCTCTTTGATGATTACATCTGTTACTGCATCAAATACAAATTTGACGTTTTGTGTATCTGTGGCACAAGTCATGTGACTATAAATTTCTTTTGCATCTTTTCTCATGTTTAGATCAAGAAACTGAAGCTTGATGTAGTTGCCTGCATCGTCAAATGTATTGGGGCCTGTTGGGAAAAGGAAATAGGAAAATATAAACTAAACAGGTGTTAAAAAGTATCACTTATTGTTTGGATCCTGAGTTACTCATTTACAAGAGCCTTAGATCTAACAACATTTTCTCCTGGTGGAAATGAAAAAGAAGTGGTATATGCTATATGTTGCCTTGAGAGTTCCTAGAGCAGTGTTTCTCAACCTCGGCAACTTGAAGAGGTATGGACTTCAACTCCCAGAATTCCCCAGCCAGCACAGCTGGCTGGGGAATTCTGGGAGTTGAAGTTCATACCTCTTCAAGTTACTAAGGTTGAGAAACACTGTCCTAGAGGAAAGGCAATGTAAACGTAACCATTTGCTTACTCCTCCATATTGTTGCCTACAATGTTCCCAACCCTTGATTAGATACTGAGGAGGCAGGTAAAATCATTTAACAGATTTCTTGCACCAAAGGAAATATCCCACAGATCTTTCAATCCAGTTGTGTGTGTTTCCATCTGCATCTTGGAACGTGATTTTTTTATGTGATACTAGTGTTACATTACTTTGGTGTGTCAACCCACAACTTATTTTATTATCAGAACTGTTATAGCAATTCTTGAACAAAAAGAAACCAATAAAATGCTCATATTCCCACTTTCTTTCATATGAATATTATATAGCAGTGTTTCCCAAACTTGACAATTTTAAGGCATCGGGAGTTGAAGTCCTCATGCCTTAAAATTGTCAAGTTTGGGAAACACTGTTATATAGCATAGGAAGTAACTCAATGAAACATGTAAATTGAAATGGGCAGTTCTCTTTGACAGTAAGCCTGACAAGCCTTTACAATGTAACTGCAGTCATTTTTAAAACTTACATTTCTTAAGTGTAATAACTTCTTTACTGTGTTATTTTATAGAACAAGCCATTTTTGAATCAATTGAATAAGTTGTATGTATGTGAATTTCTTATTGAATTGATACATTTCAATTTCAATAGTAAATTACTTTAAACCTAGCAGTTTGTTCATCAATGTATAAAGTATCATTTACTTATTATGAAATGTATTTGCTGCCCATCTCATATGGAACAACTCTAGGCATTAAGTATATTCAACCTGATCCTCGCCAAATGTCTTGAACTGCTATAACTTCAAGCAGCAAAACTGCTGGACATGCTATTTGGGAATGTTGATAATTAATCCATTCCATGGGGAAGTTACTTAGTTGGGGAAACTGCCCCAGCCAACTGTACACTGGTGTAAGAGGAAAGCCTTTTTCTCATTTAGCTCTTTGAGCAAATTATTTTGGCTTTCATGAAAATGAGAGAAATGTTCCAACTCACCATCATAGTCAGGGAAGCAAATGCTGAGATGTACTTTCTTGATTTTTTCCTCAAAGAGGTCCTTCTTATTCAAGAAAAGAATTATGGAAGTGGCAGCAAAGAACTTGTGATTACAGATACTGTTGAAGAGATGCAAAGATTCATGCATGCGGTTCTAAAGAGAAGAACTTTAAAAAGTTAAGTTTAAAAGGAACAGTGATACCTGAGGCTACCTAATATTTTATTAAATATTCTGCTGTTTGTTAATTTAAACAAAAAATAAACATTTCAATGAATATGCAAAATAAATGGTACGCAGTAATGGGAACAAAGAAGCAGTGATTAAAAGTCAAATTCCTACTGATGATTTCCTTAGAGTTAAAAAAGACTCTTAACTTTTCACATTGAAAAATGCAAAAAAAATACCAGAAAATAAACAGTATCATATATAATTGCTAACATTAAAACAATAACATTTCAGACAACTTGCAAGAAGTGGCTTGGATCCAGACAAAATGTGTCTCAAGGGAGCAGCCCCTGCCTTTTCTTTTGCTGATCTAAATGCTGTATTTCCCCCCCCCCCCCAGTGCATTTTGGTTTTGGATTACAAAATAATACTGAACTCACAAAATTGATTTTATATCTTCTTATCTACCTGTTGCATTTAATCAAAGTTTTTACTCTTTATAATGCTAGCTGGAAGATAAAAATGAGCTGTTGAGAGGTGTTTTTGTGGCTTTGCCACTCCTAATTCCTATGCAGGAAGGGAAATGTTCCATCCTTCAATAATCTTAAAGGCTAAGCAACTTTTTAGAATGGTGAAAACACTGAGATGTTGAGGTCATGCTAGCTTAAACTGGCTGCCCTGAGAGGCACATTTGCAAATGTTTGCTCCAGTGCAGGGCTTTTCAACCTTTTCACAGATTGTACCACTTTTAGGACATGACAATATTTGAGTACCACCAAATAGTGTCAAAAAAGGGGGGGGGATTTTGGGTTTTACTGATTAGATTCATTTGTTGTTATAGAAATGGCTAGTTTATAATATTATGGAAAAGTAAAAAGTTGAGGTTCAATGTTAATGCTTCCTTCTACGGCAACAGAGAAAGTATGTTCTTTTTCCCTTCTCCCCCTCTTCCCCCCCTTTTTCCTCCCCACGGTGTCCTACTCTTTGCTTTTGTATTTTTGTATTTTATTCTATAATCTAATAAAATATTAGAAACTGTAGAAAAAAAGTAAAAAAGTACCAGTTTTAATTTCTTCTGTGGCTGTTCCTTTGCTGAATCACTTTCCCTTTGCACTGATAAACGTATGATGAATTCAAACTAGGCACTTTTATGACTTGTGGACTTCAGCTCCCAGAATTCCTCAGCCCTCATGGCTGGTTGAGGAATTCTGGGAGTTGAAGTCCACAGGTCTTAAAGTTGCTAAGTTTGTAGACTCCTGAGCTAGCTGGCTGGCCCTTCTGAGCTTTTCCAATCCCTTCCCTGTACCCTTAAAGACACAGGAATCAAGTGCAAAGCAAGAAAATAAAGAAACACAAACTCCATTTTTTTTCTCTTTAAGCTGCCTCAGGTGTGTCACATGTCACAATGTTGCAATCCTTGACTGAAAGGCTCCGGCAATTGCAAAAAGCTTTAGCTTTAAATTAAGCCTGTTTACCTTCAAAGAAAACTTTCTAAAAGCCACAGACTCAATTAAAGCGGGTAAAACTAATTACATTTGTTTAAAGGGATTAAACCTTTCCTGATGTCTTTTTTCCCCACCCAAACCACATTCTTTTATAGCCTCTCCAATCCCCCCCTTTTTCTTCAGTTCACTTCCAGCTCCAAGCTGCTTCCGGAAGTGCCAATCAGCTGGAGCCAAACAGCTGGAGCCCTGCCAGCTCCTGGGGCTTCTGCCAAGCCCAGACAGTCCTGCAGCTGCCTCTCCCTCAGGCTTGGCTCGCTTTGCTCATCCCCTCCCCTGCTACACTTGACTAGCAATCATGTACCACCTGCCATGTGGCAAAGTACCATTGTAGCTCTGCTCCAGTGGATATGACAAAGGAGTACTTGGTCTAGATCAGAGATCCCCAACCTTTTGGGCATCAGGGACCGGTGCCATGGAGGAAGGTTTTTCTGCAGACCAGAGGAGGTGTGGTTTTCAATACTGCTGGCATCCTGAGGATGGAGCTTTGCTTGTTTGTGCGGCTTGCTTGCTGGCATGCTGCGGACCAGTGCCAGTCCATGGACCGGTGGTTGGGGACCCCTGGTCTAGATCATTATCTAGTCTCTCAGAGTGCTCTTTACCATCTAGCTTGGCTTTGATTTCTGAATGTTGGACACACTTGTAAACAAAATAACAAACTGTAGCTATGCACCCATTAATATTCTAACTCCAATGGAATGTTGGGAAGAAATTTGTGAAGGTGCTCCGGATTTTGTCCACTGGTCTATTAACAGAATAGCTCTGCAAAAAATGGAATGGAATGGGACTACATTTTAGATGCAGGAGAAAAACTAGCAAAATAAAAATTGTGTTGAAAATGAGCTTGGAAGGGGGGAAAAAACTCCCACAGTGCATCCCCAGGAGAGAGAAGTCTTTCAGCAGTGGTTTAATCCATTGCTGACTGTTTCATCTTAAACCCTCTCCTCACCCCACTTCCCTCCTGGCTGCATTGCTAAGTGGTCTGGACAGAATTCCAGAAGCCACGAGGTCTTTCCTCACCTTGTTATTTTCTAAGAATGTCTGTGAAACATTCCTGGTGAAGGGCACAGAGATACAGAAATAAGGATGATGCTGCAAGTTCTGACTGTTCTGTTGCATGCCAGCTTTTAATCGTTGCTGTCAAAAGCATATTTTAAGTGCATGTCAGAAGAAATACAGGTAGTCCTCAACTTAGAGCATTTTGCTTAGTGGCTGTTTTGAAGTTACAACGGCACTGAAAAAAGTGACTTATAACCATTTTTCACACTTATAACTGTTGTAGCATCCCTATGATCATGTAATTTACATCTGGATGCTTGACAACTGACCCACATTTATGATGGTTGCAGTGTCCCTGAGGTCATGTGATCACTGCAGCCTTCTGACAAGCAAAGTCGATGGGGAAGCCAGATTCACTTAACAACAGTGGGAAGAGCCGAGGTGGCGCAGCAGTTAGAGTGCAGTACTGCAGGCCACTTTAGCTGACTGTGTTCAGCAGGTCAGCGGTTCAAATCTCACCGGCTCAAGGTTGACTCAGCCTTCCATCCTTCCGGGGTAGGTAAAATGAGGACCCAGATTGTTGGGGGCAATGTAAATATATATATACATTGCTTACTGGTGTACACCGCTTAGAGAGTGCTTGCACTTAAAGCGGTATATAAGTCTCATAAATAAATAAATAAATAAATAAATAAACAGTGTTACCAGTTTAACAGCTGCAGTGATTTATTTAACAAATGTGGCAAGAAAAGTTGTAAAATGGGGCAAAACTCACTTAACAAATTTCTCACTTAGCAACATAAATTTTGGGCTCAATTGTTGTAAGTTGAGGACTACCTGTATCTATAGATACTAGGTAGTCTTTCCCCTGGTTACAAGAAAACAGCGGTTACTTTCAGCAAATTCTATTTAGCTATCTTCTCTCACTTTATTGAGAGAAAGCCTCCTGTCATCTACAATTCAATCTGCTGAAAAATAAGCAACTAAAACATTTTTATAGCTGAAATATTTTATACGTGTGTTGGAGATGATCCTTCAAATAGCTGTTGGTGAAGATTGCATTATCTATGGTTCAGTGGGGTTTACAGAGATAATCATTTTTTAAAAATGACAAAGACTTTCTGAAATTGGACAAAAATTGATTCCACTTTGACTTATAGCAACTCCTTCAGCAGAACTAGGAATTGAATTCTTATTCCAGATTGTTTTGTTACTTGGGCTTGAATGAAAGCAGCACAATTTCAAAACAACAAAAAACAAAAACAACAACACCCCGACTGGCTACATTTAAGTTCCTTTAATTTTCCCTTCTTTGGCTGTAACCAGGCTGCTAATGCAATTATAAAGTTCTGGCATTCTTTATTAGCATGAAGTAGAAAGGATGACTGAACTAAGTTTTTCTTTATGGGGCTGATGAATTTCAAAGCAGAACCAAGTATATGTTTGGAACTATCATTCATCGTATATACAGTCTGAGCTAGCAAACATACCATATCATCGTCTTCTACCAAGACCATGTCATAGGCACTAAGAGCGCCACAGAAGATGATGCAGGTCACCCCTTCAAAGCAGTGGATCCACTTTTTGCGCTCTGATCTCTGCCCACCTACATCAAACATCCTGAAAAAAGAAGAACTGTGCATGTGACAATGACGTTGGAACATTTGAAACCAGAGGAAAATCTTCCCAAAGCAATGTGGTTTCAAGGAACAGATGTTTGGAACTTTAGAAGGATGTGTATTTGCCGTCTATCACACTGGTTAAAGATACACATGGAAGAAACTATTCAACTTCCCACAATTTGCACTTGTGTAGGGTTTCAATCCATAGTTTCCAAAATCCTTGGATCTTGGAGATTATGAGATTGAACGTGAAGTCATCTAGAAGACACAAATTTGGGGCAATCTACTTAGGCAAAGGTGTGAAGGTGACAATGTAATTTAGAAAAGTACTTCCATTTTTCAGTCAAACATTTAACACAATTTTTTTTTGAAACAATAGATATCAAATTAGAAATAGAAATACCTTGAAAAGTTAAGCTTTTGCTATGGGCACAAAGAGACATGGAATTAAGGTTGCTCCTAAGAGTGTCCTGCTGCTAATGGCCAGCTTTACACATAAGGTAAAAAAATGTGGCAGAAAGACTTCTGGATGCCGCAGTACCCTGAAGTGTATACAAGTGGAGGAAAGGCAAAACAGAACTAAAATAGGATTTATACATCCTAAAAATTAGTTGGAGAAAATGGAAAGAAAAAATTAACATTTCAGAGCAGGTTTTGCTCACCTGAAATTAAGATCCTTGACTGAGAACCTTGTTTCTATGATACCTGTGGTCTTAACACGGGATCGCAATACATCCTGTTCATTGGGAAGATAGTTGGCAGCGGTGATCCTGTCCAGTTGATTAAGATAGCTACAGAGGAATGGGATGCAATTTAATTTCTTAGCATGGTGTAGGAATATATAATAGCATGTGTCATATGCCATCTATATTATAATTTGATAGAACTGTGTCAAAGTTTCCTAAAGTTTTAATGGCTTGAGCAGGATTTTGAACTCCTATCTTCCAGAAATATCAAACTGAAATTACTATGATTTAATGTCAACATATTCTGCTTTCCTTTGTATACCGTTAAGGAAAATGTGCTATAAACATTGGTTAACACCTGGCTAATGTAGCAAGAGCAGAAATGGCAAACCTCTGCTGTTCAAATTTGGTTAGGACTGCACAGCAATTGCAAGTTATTATATTGTTAAGGCTAACAGATTAACAGATTTTTGACCATTTGTTTTCTAGTGTATTGTATAGTCTTATATATTTGGCTCTATTTGCTCTTACAATTGCATAAACATTTTGTAAATATGGCATTTGCCAATTTAGTGCCTTCTAAATACATTGGATGATAAATCTTGTTGGCTGTCATGCTGGCTGGGGAAGATAAGAGCTATAGCTCATCACATATGAAAGATATTCGCTTAGGAATGAAGTCTGAAAGGGTTTAGTAGACTTCTGTTGCAAAATATTAATTGGCAAAAAGAGACACAACTTTTAGTCAGCAATACCAGTAGGAATTTGGAGGTATATGCATCCCATATTATATCTCTATATTGTAGCAATATTTGCTCCCAAAATGCTAAATTCCCCCTTGAAATTGAATATTAGTACAGAATTATGCAAATAAATAGTTTGAATCATATCTGATCAATCAGGTACGTGTAATATTGCAGATATGTATACCCAAAACCAAGTGCACAATGAAATTCAGTGACTGATATAATCAGGATTTGCAGTCCCAGAAATGACATTGTTAACTGAGATTGTTAAAGAAAATTATAACATTATGGAAAACGAGCAGGCTGTACCTTCACATACAGCACTTGTTTTCTCCTCCTAAATCAGATATGAGTAACAAAAATTCCTTGGGCTGTGAGATAATTTATTCAAAAATGTATTCACTAACTTCCATTGTACTTATTCAAGACTATTAACTAGAATGTCTCCTTCCTTAATTCTCTCCTAATTCCAAATTATTACCTGACTGACTTCAAAATAATGACATTCCTATTAATCTTTTCCTTTCTAAAGAGTTTGGAAAAGCAATAATTGAAAGCTGAAAATAAATCTAAGAAAACATTTTCTCTTTTATCTTAATCAACTATCCCCTAAGAAGTCAAAATACGCATCTTCAGAAGAGGATTTAGAAAGCCACGCAAGTTCTGATCAGCGTTGGGTTCCTTCTGGAACCAATACTAGATTCTCTCTGTGCTCACTGTGAAGGCCTTTTCCTTGAAGCATACACAACATGCTTTCAAAAGTACAGATCTGCCCACTTGTGCAAAAGCAGCTTAGGACTATAATAAATTGACTAATGAGGATAGAGGATGTAGGATAAATATGATCAGCCTTATCTATGTTATTGGAGTAGTCTGTAGTTAATATTTATATTTTACTTTGTACAGTTTTGTAAATTAAACAATTAATAAACTATAGTATATACAATAGATTAAACAGAATATAATAGGACATTTATATAAAAACATGACAGAATAAAAGAAAATAAATAAAAACCAAACACAGCATTCACAGAAGGTCTGGATATATAGAGCAGGGACTTTTCTTATTTACAAGTTGGTATATCAAGCTATCTGGAAACAGATGTTTTTGGCCACAGCAATCTCTTGTGGATCCCATGGCAATGATGACTCTAGAACATCCAAAATTATGTATCCATTCTTTCTGAGGAACTACAGCTATCTGATTTGGACCCTGACTGCTCTTTAGAAGGCCAGATCCTGAAGCTGAAACTCAAATATTTTGGCCACCTAATGAGAAGGAAGGACTCACTGGAGAAGGGCCTAATGCTGGGAAAGATTGAGGGCAATAGAAGAAGGGGACGACAGAGAATAAGATGGCTGGATGGAGTCACTGAAGCATAGGTGTGAACTTAAATGGACTCCAGAAGATGGTAGAGGACAGGAAGACCTGGAGGAATGTTGTCCATGGGGTCGCGATGGGTCAGACACGACTTCGCAATTAACAACAACAACAACAAATTCTTCAGGGTTCAACCTTAACTTCTTGATCCTCATCCATATCACCCCAATTTCCAGAATAAATGCCACACCTCTTGATTCTACTTTTCTATAGAAAAGTAGAACATTAACATCATCAGCATACTGACAACATTTTTCGCTAATGTCTGTCCCACTGGGATTAATGTAATACTTGCTATTATTCCACAAAAAAGCAGAGACACACTCTAGGACCATCCTTATAAATAGGAATGGAATTGCTTTTATCACAGTATATTGGTTCTGCCCCAAACTCTCTCCCTGCCAAACTTACGGAGATGGCTCAGGAGGATATGGTGACTGACAGGATCAAAAGTGCTGAGATATCAAGCAAATTCAATAGAGTTGCTGTCTCTCTGTTTCTAAACCAGGTTAGACTGAAAAAGGTCTCTCTCTTTTTATCTTTGAGTCAGTATTGACTCCTGGCTACTGCCTGGACAAATTTTTGTAGTACTCTTGGCAGGATTTAAGAAGTGGAAGCACAACACTCTTTGAAGCATCCATACAGCTGTTTTAAAGAGATGTTGATCTAATTATCCACATATTCTGAACCATTTCTCCAAATCATTTTTGAAGCATGCACAAGACAACTGGTTTTATTTGAAAAGACAACAAACTATGCAAGGAGAAATTCCTATTATCAGGTTGAGGAGTTGCCATCTCATTATCACAAAGGGTTGTGATAATGTGATTGCACAAATATCTTATGTTGATACGACATTTGTGCAATCTCATTATCACAATCCTCTGAGGGGGCTTAATTGCCTTCCCAATAAGGTAATCTTTCAATCGTTGCAATAGTTGGCTCAGACTTACTATGCAGCAGAATCATTGAGCTGATATTCAGCTGCTCGATCAAAGCAGGCTTGAACTCCTCCATCAGCCCAAAGTTTCTTTATACAAGTCACCAATTCTGGGGGCATGGTACCCTCTTCAATGGAATCAGCCAAACTGTACAGCTGCCGTTGCTCATCCTATAAAAACACAGAGCCCATAAGCACAATCTTGTTTCCTTGGGGGCTGGATATGGAATGCAAGGCTCATCTTCATGTAGTTATGAGGTCACCTATACAAGATGTCCACTGTTTTCAGCTGGGAAGTTCTAGCTTGCAGAGACAGGCTTTATATGACCCATGCATCAAACTAGAAAACACCAAAGCAGAGAAGCACGTGGAAGGAAGAACACTGAGCCCCAGTAGTGCAATGATTGGAATATAGTACTGCAGGCTGCTAACTCTGCCCACAGCCTGGAAATTGACCCTGGTGGGGGCTCAAGTTTGACTCAGCCTTCCATCCTTCAAAATGAGGACCCAGATTGTTGGGGGCAATATGCTGACATTGTAAACCACCCAGACAGTGTTGTAAAGCACTACGGAGTGATATATAAGTCTAAGTGCTATTGCTTTTGTTATTCATACGGGGAGAAAAAAAATAGAAGAAAGTAATAACTTTCTTGACAATATATCAGCTTCTTTCAGAGAGAAAATTTTGGTGGGGCCTAGTTTGTCTACCAAAAGTATTTCCTCTAGTGAAGTGTTATTGTGTATTGCCGTTCTGGCACAATCTGTGTAGTGCTTTCTTCCAACATAGCATATTTTCAGTACCATATGGTTGATTAGTTCAACTTTGACAACTTTAAGACTTGGCTGGGTGAGGAATTCTGGGAGCTGAAATCCACAAGTCTTAAAGTTGTCAAGGTTGCAGACTCCTGGATTAGTTGATGTCTTATACATTTTCAGCAGTATCTTCTCTCTTTTTCTTTTTTAAAAGTACATTACTTCCTGTTATGAACTGTAAGAGGTAAGACTCTTTTGAGAATAACTCAGGTCAGTGCTGGCGTAATTATTCTATGAATCAGCTTTTGCACATTGATGGAATAGGAAACAAATAATGCTCTCAAAACTTTTCTTTAATCACCAGATGGCGCTAGGCACACCTACTTCACTTCCAGGGGCTAACTTCATTAGGTTGTGTAGCAAAAAAAAAAAAGTGATGAGCATGTTTGTGCAACACACACACCCATGGTTACTGAACCATGATTTAAACAGTTCATCAAATGTCTGGAGTTGTCTGAACCATAAACCATAAACAAACCACATTGTCTACCACATGGTTCATAATATACTACATCAAAATGCAGTATTCACTCTGCTTGTGGTATGTTCCAGGCTAAGAGATTTTGTGTGGCATAAGCTTTTGGGCACTGGTTGTATTGGTACCAAAAAGCAGTCTGGAGTATGGTTGTTTTCCACAAACCATCTGTATTTGATGCATGTTATCTGGTACTGTGTGTATGTATCCTATCCTTATATATTGCATCTGAACATAGTATACTTTTAGGCTTATAGAATGTCCTCCAATATTTGTTTTTTATATAAACAAATTCTTTGGTTTTCTATATTTTTAACCCATAAGAAAAATATGTATAAACCATAGAATAAAATTAGTGAAACAGTATATGTATTCTGGACTATCGATTAAACATCCCATGGTCATTCTTGGACTCAAATTTAAAAAGGTTTGTATCAGTCTCCTTGTCTCAAATATATGCAACACATACACATCAATCCTGTTCCCAGCCTGATCAAATCAAAAATATTTTTCCTATGTAAAAGGAAAAAAAATGTTCTGTGCTCTGTCTGTGCAGTGGGAGGCAATGTCAGAAAAAATATCTAGACTTCAATTATGCAATAGCAGCCACTTTTTGACACCTCCAATCACCCTGCTTGTATTGCATCCCAATTTCTAGCCATTGTCATTGCTTTCAGGGGAAACACATGTTAGAAGAATAATGTGCTATTGGTAACACTCACCCCGCGACCTGAATCAGCAAAATCTATGCCCAGAGTAGTCATGGCCCTGATGATTGATAGGATGGATTGAAGTATGTTGCTATATATGATTGCTTTGAACTCCATACATTCTTCTTCTGTGTAACCATCTTGATGGATAATTCTGTAGTACAAAGAGAAAAAAACTCCCAAGTCTTGAATATGGAATGCTACCATTGATTTTATTCCAAAGCCTTAGTACTAGTTTTGTCTTTGATTTTATTCTCCACTTGGCAAGGAGTCTGTATGGTTCAACAAGGACTGGAAACAAATCCGAGTATTGTTACTCATTCACTAAGTGAAATGTTAACATCTGGTGCAGCCTATTATGTCTAAACCCTGATCTCCTCTTTCCTTCTTAACTCTCTCAACATCATGACTTCCGTATCAACTCTTCTGTCTTCTACCGACTTCCGCTTTTTGTAGCAACTCCCCTAGCAGGGGTTTTGAGTGCTTAGTTTGTTCCAAGCTATGAGTACTAGTATCAGTTTGGGTAATCAAAAACATCGGCTTGGCGCATTAGGTTTCTGCTGAAGAAGGCTGAGCCCAGCCTCTGATCTGAGTTCTTGCATGCAACAGGTAAAAGCAAATGCACTTTCCCCCAAGAAGGTGTTATTGATAAGGCCATGTTCTTACCCCTATGCACTCTGACGCACTTTTAGGCATTTCAGTGCCAAGTGCTGTGCCACTCTAATTATAATAATCAGTTGATTATTGTAGCAATAATTAATTCTTGCTGTGGATAATTGTGCACTCCATCTTCAATGCAGCTTGCACTTGCCTAGTATTACTCTAGTTTTAAGCCTAATTTAGTTCCTACAAAGTTCATTTAAAAAAACTTAGTGAAGACCATGCTAAAGGAAGAGCACCTGGCTTTAAATGGTCATTTCTATCCACCAGCCTAAAAAAGGGGACATCCTAAACCTTATGGGAGTTCTTTAAATCATATATGCAGTTATTGATTGCTCCATGACATACTGTTGTATGAAAAGGTATTTCCTCTTAATCCTATCCAAAATCAATTTATGAAGCAAGCAGTTGCCACTTGTTGTCCTCAGTTGGTTTAACCACATGCTATTTTTATGTGTACTAAGCCTTCCATAATCAGTTTAAGCCCACTCCTGCTGCCAACAATCTGAAAAGTATCTATAAACGTGAACCAATGTGGGACAACACTTAATTAAAAATGCTGCTGGGTACAGCTAACTTTTGAGCTCCTGGTTGCTGATCTTGAAGGGGATACTCACTTCATCTGTTTGACAATTGTACTCTTCCCTGACTCACCAGCACCTGGAATGAAAAACAGCTTAATGTCAGAATTGCTTTGCAGACAGAGGATGGTCTGAGTTAATTATGTATTGCTTTCCTACTGTAATTATTGTGAGATCACAACTGGAAATATATTCAACTATTATACTGATGAATTATTAGGGCATGGTGAATTGGTTTGCTAAGCCAACCATAATGTCCTTGTCCATATACAAGTCTCAGTAAGCTTGACTTAGTGGTTCATTCAGGTAGTCTCTTTTGCAACAATATTATAATGGCTTGCCACTGCTTTTTCAAGAATATTCTTCAATTTCCCAGTCTTAAGTTTGAAGATTTTCTTGTGGTCCTTCATTCAAGTTCCAAATATGCTTCAACCACTCCTAGCATCCACGCACAGACAACAGGCATTATAACTAGATCATACACCATGATTTGCAAGAAATGGCTAGATTCATGCCTCGCACCAAGGCAAAAGTAAAAAAAAAAAAAATAGAATAATAGCTTAGTGCAACATGAAAAATTAGCCTTTATGACTGGCCTATCTTAAAGACAACATCATGGGGAACATATGTTTTTCTGTGAAGGAAGATCAATGATCAGTGATCTCAGAAGATTCTTCTCTGATGTTTATGCTTGTAGGTTACACCTTATTACAGGAGAACAGTTGGTAGTCCTTGACTTTCAACCATTTGTTCAAATTTACAATGACATCGAAAAAGTGAGTTAGACCCAGTCACAGCATTCACATGTCATGTGATCAAAATTAGAGTGCTTGGCGATCAATTCTGATTTCGGTCTTCATTGTGGTTGTAAATTGAGGACTACATTTATAGCTTGAAAAAAACTAGAAAAAGGTGACATGTGAAACTGGCTTAGCTCAAATATGGTATTATATCTACTGAACAAACTACATTTGGCTAACCTTCTGCAATATACTGTTAACACAAACCAGTATGTTTCACATAACAAGTGAACTTTAAACCATATTATAGTCTGTGGATACCAGCTTCATTATGCCATAATATGACTTGTTTGATCTTGATTTAATGTAAACTCTGCCATTGATCTGGCTCAGCAATTTATTAAAACAAACCATAGCTTAGTACAGTGGTTCTCAACCTTTTTAATGCCTCGACCCCCAACCGGTCGTAAGTCGAGGACTACTCAACCAGTCATAAGTCGAGGACTACTCAACTGGTGTAGCACCATTTGCGGAATGGGACTTTTGGCGGGCTCTCTATTCAAGAGAGTCTATTCTATTGGCTTTCAAAAGCCAATAGAATAAAAGGGAGTAGCACAGCTAAGGAAAAGGGGGGGGGAATGGCGGACTGTGTTGTTTGGCGACCCCCGTGAAATGGTCGTTCGACCCCAAATGGGGTCCCGACCCACAGGTTGAGAACCACTGGCTTAGTAGGATGTATCACCTGAGCCTAAAAAAACCTCACTGGTTTAAGTGGTAAATAAAAGGGAGCCTTCCCTTTAATTGCCCAGGCTACGGAAAGAGCAGCCTTCATTTTCCCATTCCCATACATGAAATGCCTCTCTTAGGCCAAATGTTTTTAAAGATGCTCTCTGTTAGGCAGGACCCAGTCTGAACAAATAACTAATATACATTAGTTATTTCTGTGCCACCCAGAGTTATGTCAACATTGATGTTATCGCATGCTAAAGATACAGAGAAATGTTTTTCTCTGGGTTGACCTCCAGATTCACTCAAGCATGACAAATGGATTCTTCACTTTCTATTAATTTGTGATGACCTTATGATGCCATGAGCCAAGTCACACCTGTGTGCTTGCAAGTCTAGAGCTAGTGGAGAGCATTCATGGCCCAATGCTTGAACATAGAGAAGTGTCTTCCAAGATGAGCAGCAACCAAGCATCTTATTAGGCCTGCACAGGTCCTCCTGGTTTATGGGTAAACAAGGATTTCTCTTTACAGAAGAAAAGAGAATGGCTAGCAACCCACACAGATCCTCCATTATTGCTCCACATTTATTTCTGTCCATTTATTCCTCATTTTGCCAAAAATCCCAATGTGTGTAAAGAACAAGTGTAGAAAATAGTAGCCAAAGCAATGAGAGCCATCAAAAGCTTCCCAGATACCCAGAACAAGACCTTAATTGCATGACAACTGTGTAATCAAGACTTGAAATGGAACTATGGCAGCATTCTGCATTTGGGCATCTTTTCCAACAACTATGATGATGCTAGCATATCAGAGGATTGGGAGGGAGAGTGGTAAAAATGAGGGAAAATAAGCTCTCTGCAGATGCCCGAAACCTCAGGGAATAAGGTGATGGATCTCCTTATCGGGGTTGGTTATGACTGCCTTATTCTAAAGTACCGTAGTGTTTTGGTAACTGTAATATGTATGAACTACAAGTCCCAGAATTCCTCATCAGCACTGACCAGGGAGTTTTGGGAATGGTAATCCACACACCTTAAAAGTTGTTAAGTTTCAAAAACACTGTTCTAGAAGGTCTTCTGGAATGGAATAGTTTAAATGTGCTTACAAAAGATGAAGGATCATAATTTAACAGCATGACATGCCAGGAAGGAAAATTAAAATGCTTGTGGGAGTTACTGTGACACACAGTCCTTTAAAAAAAAAAAAGTCACACTAATTATTAAGGAGGAAATTACCATGGAAATCAAATCAGATGTGGGACAGCTCACTGTGAGCAGCTTCTTTACACAACCTCATTGCCTTTCCTTTGTAATTCTTTATGGTGAAATTTGGGAGTGTCTTTTCAATCTTACTAGATGTGGGCACCAGCTGGAATTAGAGGGAATTCAGGCCAATTCCGACTTCTATTGGGAGCGGTTTGTGGGAATCTACCATAGCACGAATATGGTTGGGATATAAATGTTCAAAGGTCTTTTTTTAAATCCTGTACCTGGAAGTAGATTGATAATATATAGGCTGAGTCTGATCATGTTTTCCAAATGATTTCTAGTGCTACCTTCATTTGTAACAGAATGAATTATTCACACAGCTTGCTTACAAGAATCTTTACTACAATGCAAAAAAGTTTTTTCTATGAAATATGAAACATATATGGATGAAATATTTGCATATCTCTGTCTGCATAAAAATAATCTAGGAGGCTACCCAGTGATGATAAAAGCTCATATAGATTCACTGCTAGAATTTTCTGTAGTAATTTGTCATTATATGGAAATACTTGCCTTTTGATAACCAAGACGTTTTGTATACAGGAATAAATAAGATTTTTAGGTTTCAACCTGATACACAGAGTTTGTATAGATAATACCAACTTTAATGAGTTTTATTTTTAAATAGACATGTAGTATATAGGATTGCACTGTAAATGTTTTCCCCTCTGTCTTTGACTATACCTAGAACTACAGTTCCAGTTTTAATAGCCCTAGACTGAGAAAACATTGCTTTAGGTTGGGTTATTAAACATTCTATCAAGTTATTAAAATGTAATCATATGCACACAGATAGATATTCAGAAATGCATTTACATAAAACACAGTGACTCCTAACTGCAAGACTAAGTTATTTTTGCAAGTGCTGGTTCCTATTTTTACTCCAAATCATTCCTTATTTGCTTTCTAGAAGCACTAGCCTTCCTAAAACACACTCCTCTTCTTTCTTAACAAAATGTTTCTTCTGTTGCTCTTCACTAATTTAAGCAACCATTGCACCATTTCTTGATCTCATCATATTAAGCTGCTTGTTTAGTTCAAACCGGGAAGCTGCTTAGAATTAGAGTTTAAGCACTTTAATTCCAGTTTCCCTGCTGTTATTGTGATGAATCCAAGTTGCCAGGAGGCACATAAGAACTGATTATGCCTGCTTGCCTCCACAAGCAGCACTGCTGATCTAAGTGACTTCTACCACATGAACTGTGGTACACTTGTTTCTACAATAATGTTATCTCACGAAGCCATGCAGCAGAAGCCAGGATTAAAATATTTTTCATTCTACATATGGGAGGACACCTCATCCAACCCCCATCTCTTCATTACTGAGGTTTCCAAATCAGGTATTAGGGTGGGCTGAGCTAAACAGCAACAATAGCAATAGAGTAGGCCAGTCCTGCCTTCACTGTGGCCTCTAAATCTCCAGGAATTAAGCAGAGCACAGATTTTTTACTCCAGCCATGGTGACATCTCTGTTCATACATTCCCTACTACAGCCTTCCTCAAATCACTGCCCTCCAGGTATGTTGAATTAGAAGTTAAATTACAAACAGCTGCTGAGCAAGGTGACTAGGGACAATGAGGATTGTAGTTCAATGCATAGGGAGGGGTCTTCAAACTTGGCCACTTTGAGACTTGTGGACTTCAACTCCCAGAATTCCTCAGCCAGACAGGTCTGGCTGAGGAATTCTGGGAGTTGAAGTCCACAAGTCTCAAAGTAGCCAAGTTTGAAAACCCCTGGCATAGGGAGAACATTAGACTGGGCAAGACTCCCTTCACTCTAATCCCTTTCCTTGATCTAATCATAAAAAATTATTCCTTGTTGCTTGCCTCTGTTTCTCAGTTGCTGCCAAGGTGGCTATTAAACCACTAGAAACTCATACAGCTGGCTGGAAGACACACCTGAGCCTAAATTTTCCATGTCTCAAGTATCCTTTGTGCTACTTTTTAAAATAAATTAACCTGCTGGCAGTTTTCATTCAACAAATTCACTTTCTAGATTCATTTATGGAACCTGAGCTCTTGATTACGACTTGCAACTAGATAATATCTGACTGAATTCTAGCATATTTGTGACAACCCAGAACCTAGAAATGTGCATATCAGAAGAGTACCGCAAATATTAAAGCTAATACTCAGAGAGTTTCCATAAACAAGTCAATTTCATGGAAGCAGAAAATGTGGCTGGAGAGAAGAAACTAAGGTCTCTGACGTCACACTTAAAAGAATGAAAGTTTGGGCTGAGTCCAGATTTAATAATATTCAGAAAAAAAACTTGAAGTTATCACTACTAACTTGAACTCTCATTGACTAAAATGAATAACAGTATTCTAAGTCACTTGAATC